AGTTGGGTAAAAAATAAAAGTCTCACAGTAGGAAGAAACGGTCATCCAGCGCTTTCAGGTTTGCCATGGTAGTCTAGCCTCAATTGACTTATGATCTCAACTATTAAAATTACTATAATATGCACGAAACCCCTTTTGATATTAAAAAATAAACGAGCTTTTCGGTAAAAATAAAGTGCTAAGATCTAATGGTCAGAGAATTTGCCATTCAATCTTTAATTTGTATGTTCAAGTTCTACTCCACATACTTTGGTATTAATAATTTAATAGTATTATTGACTTTTACTTAAGATGTGTTATTTTAACTGAGTGCATAAATATGTATCTAGTTACCCAGTCGTCGGATTATAATGAAACTTAATATTTGCTATTCAATATGCTTAAATTTTTAGTTTGATGATTTCAGCTTCTAAGATAGATAAATTATTTCAAGTTAACCAGTTATCGGGAACATAATACGTTACAGTTTAAAACTATTTTCCTCATGAACTGATATCAAATGAAAAATCATTGAGAACCTCATGAGATTGTATAATCATTTTCGTTCAGATTGAGATTCCTCAGTAGTGTACTTTTAAAACTCTGAACAATATCGATCTCACAATTTTCACTACTCACAGAGTGTCATCATAAACCATTGGATTTCAAGCCAGTGGTCGAATGAACAGTATATCTATTACATATCTTGGAAGCTGTGAGTTCAATCTAGTTTAGTATCGTGTAGAGTAATAAATCAAGATCATTGATTCATGATAACTGATAACTTGATTTTAGTTTATGACATTTGATACCTTTGCAATGATACTACTTTCCATTGTACAATTACTAACCTCATAATTCCAAATGTTCACGGTGGAACTTTTACTTCAGTTTATATTACATATGCGTAGATGTACGAAATTAGTTGTGTTTAATTTTGATTTCATTTTTCTCTCCTTCTCTCTCTCTCTCTCTCTCTCCATATACACATTTATGTACATTCAATAAATGATTGACCTAAATTCATTTCTTTTTATTATGTCTCTTCTCTCGTTTCCTTATTTATTTTATTCTTTTTGACCTCCATTCCTTTTACCTGACCACATTTTATTGTTTTTCATTTATTTTCAAAATTTCTCTTTTTATCCCTAAAAACTTTTTATTTTGACCACCTTTTATTTTCAAAAAAAAAATGGCGTTTATTCATTTCTTGGTCTGATTTCGGTGAGAAAATTTTGATCGTGATTAATATTGTTATTATTTCTTTGTGAAGGAGAAAAAAACAATGAAGAAAATGTAAGGTATATGGAGAATTGTACATATATACATACTTATATAAATACGTGTGTATGCATATATAAGAGATAGTGTGTGTTTGTGTGTTAGAGGGGCATGCACGGATGAATGTATGAATGAAAAACAAACTATTAATAGGCTAACACGATAGCATAAATGAAAAATACAAAAAAAAACGACTTGATCTAGTTCATTAAACTTTTCTTTTATTCACCTTCCGATTAATGAATAAATCGAGATGGTTTTATTGTCGAATTTCCCTCTAATTTTATTGTTGTTGACTTTCGATTTCTTTCATTTTTTTAAAAAAAAAAAAACAGAATTATAATCATTATTATATACGTTGTATATTATCAAGAATAGGGAAAAGGTTAATTGAATTGCGATATGGTTTATCGGTTAATTATTTAGAACATTTAATTCTAGCATGCATTAAGTCATTAGACATATTCAACTAGATCATTTTGATCGACGATCGATAGACATTAAACATTCACTAAAATAAATAAATAAATTGAAAATTAATAAATATTCATAACTGATTGACCACTGGGTAGTGGGTGAGAAATGTTATGTGTATTAGGTCCTTCTTAATGCAGATCGAATGCTCTCGACCAAGTTGCAATGTGGCCACTAGTCTAAGTGACTCGACATTTCGCGCACTATGTTGAGATAAGATGGTGGTTGGAGGTAGTCAACAATAAATTCTGGACCCGGTTCCCTCAAGATTACAGGTAAACCTTGATGATGAATGTCAAATAGCACGAAACCTGGGTTCAGGGTTTCCTGTTGACCGCATCCAGCCACCATCTTATCTCAATTAATAAATTAAATGAAATTACTAATTATAAAAATAAATTTTTAAATCCTTGTTTATTAGAATTAGAATTAGAATATGAGATTTATTATGGTAAATTATTTACTACCTGAAGTTTGTGCTGATGTTGTTCAGAAGAACAATGAAAGCTCCACAAACAAACCATTTAGCTCAGAGAATAAAACTTTACCTAAATATTTACTGACATAAAGTAATGTGAATTATTTATTTAACAGAGTAGTTCTTGTTAAGAAGAGAGAGTGATTTCTGTGTTCTTTTTTTCATTTTCTAAAATATTACTTTTTATAGATAACTAATGCAGAATTTGAGGAGGGGTTTTTAGTGGATATTATAGTAATTTCAATGATTAAGATCATGGTGGTCTAGCTTCAACTAACTCATACTCTCAACTATTGAAATAATGCATAATTATTCATATCTTTAACATACATGCAAAATATAAGGAATATATTGTTTGTTGAACTTTATAATTTATATTATCCACTGATTTTAATTAGACAACCATTTCAGGTATAAAACACATAACATTAGTGAATATGAATGGTTATCACACAGTATACCGAATTGATCAAATTTAGGCGTGTAAATCATTAGATGCTGATTCAGTGAACCAAAAGTTAACTGCTCACTGTGGGACGTTAACCTCTTGGCTTCGATCCCCTGTGAGGTCCATGATGTGTGTTGCAGCTTCTTATCAATATTCATATCATACCAAATAGTGTTAAGAAAAACAATAAAAACTGCCGATAAAATAAGTTTCAGTTATACCCATCATCATGTTAATTGTATGTGTTATGAATGGAATTTCGATGATAAAAGTTATATAGAATTGAAGAATATGACTTAATGAGGAATGTTGTTAAAAATCGGAGAATATAGATTTAAGCTTTCAAAACATATAACAACTAGTATTACAACATATCAACAGTTTTATTTCATAGTTTCAGTCACTTGATATAATCACTTGACAAATCTAGTTTATAAAAAATCTAGTTCACAAAAAGATTTAGAACAATGACTACCAAAAGGCCAATTAAGCTGACTTGATGACAGATTAATGAATATTGTAGCATAGAAATATGAGTTGAAATAATTTTACACAAATATATACTTAATTCATTTGATGTAAACAATCACTCTGTAAAGTATATTTAATTCTTTTAAGTATTCAGAATTGAGTGCTTCCTTCAAATATTTCATTGGTGTAAACTAAATCATAATCATATTTCATTATTGAAAAAAACACCCATTCTTTCTGAAAATAAATAAGTTTCTTGTAGAGAAAATGGTTAACATAACATAAAATAGGATAGATTGATTTATCAGTATAAGGTTGTGGAGATTATCGAGTTATTGAGTGAGATCTTGAACCAATTGATGTTAAACCACCATTGAAATCTTGGAAGCACTGGAAGGCCGTTTCGTCCTATTGTGGGACTCTTCAGCAGTGCGCATCAACGATCCCGCTCGCGGGATTCGAACCCAGAGCCTTCAGTCTCGCACGCGAACTCTTAACCTAATGGACCAGTGAGCCGGCATCCAGTGGTGTTAATGTCTAACCTTAACCAACCCACGAAATCGCTCGACCATCTATTGTACTGAGGTAGATACCTGTCTCTACAAGACATGGATTAGCTCCACTGGTCACGAAGTCTCGCTAAAACTCCGAAACTTCCCTAACGATGCTAGTTACTAGTGAGCATATGGCAATTATCAGTATAGGGTTGTCGAGATTATTACGTCTGGGATTTACATTGTCTTGTGGATTGTTGAAAACCAGAAAGGATTAGCTGTTTATTTCGTTCTGTTGAGGAATTCCATGAACAAAACTAACTTGGCGTTAGACAATCTCTATAATCTTTTGTTTTATTAACTGATTTTTCAGTTTTGTCACTGTATTTTAAACCATAAGGTGTAAAAATTCTCAGTGACTGATCATAAAGATACTCTTAGTTTGATATGTAGTAAAAGTTATATATATCATCGTTTAAATTTTTTTGTATAGAGACTGGTCAATATCTTTTCCTGAGGAAAGTAGTAAATTGTTGAGTTTTCCTGATTATGGTTGATAATTTTATGCGAACGAATTTAAAATTATTATCATTGAATGTTTAAGAAGATTGTTGAATTTCTTAATTTGATCATAGTTATGCAACCGATGAAAAAGGAGAAGCACTGGACAGCAGTTTTATAACATTACTCATCCAAAAGCCCACTAGGGGCAGAAACCAGGACTTTCAGATGGTTTATTTAGTGCTTAACTTGTAGACCACTGAGCATGGGTTCTGTGGTTTATTTGTCTTACTTTAATTTTTGATATCCACAATTGTCTTCCAGTGTAATTAGCGGATAGATGCCTCACATTTAACGTAGCTGAACTGAACTGGGCTCCTCATAAGGATTAGGAGAAATTCCTTGTGTGGCTGAGTATGTACAATGTTGGGAAGTTAAGCGCAACAAATATGAAGTGCTTTCTAGTTTTCAGCAGTTATTAATTAGTTCGTGAATTAAACTATGAAGTGAAGACGATGTTTTTTTAAAACTTATTCACCCTAAAATTTTACTGTAGTAAGGAAGGTTTGACAACCTAAATTTCTAAGAAATACATGATTGATAGTTAGTTTTGTAAGTATTTAGATAGTTTCTAGGTAAACCTGAAGAGTCCAAGTTTAATTCCGTTTCACATTAGGGGTAAACACTACTTAGAAATACCTAACTAGGGAAATGTTCGGTTTTTTCTAATATATCTCTAGCCCGTATTTCCACTCTATACAGATTATCATATAGATATTCATATTGTTCACACTGATGCATTAACTTTTTAAAAATATTTTACCAAGCTGTTCCTTAACTCTATTTATTCTATAAATTTACGCCATTCGAGTATATGGTTCTCTCAACTATTTTAGCCAATTGTATAGTTCTAGCTATGGAAATGCATTTACCATCGAATGATAAAACAGCCTTGTCAGAAAAACTGGTAAGTACCTTTTGTGGCTAATTATTTTTATTTATTAATGTATGTTCATTATTTCACTGTTTTAGGTATGATTTGTCATTTAGTTGAAATTATTAGATAGAAATGATGATTGATTAGTGATCTGGATGTCAAAAATAATAATTTGAAGGTCGGTTTGAACAAAATGACCATAAATCCTCTTGTTCAATCGTTAAAACACGAACCAAATGTTGATAACATAGATTTATTAGCACAAATAATTAGTGGAATGAGGTTTATCATAGTATATCACAGAGGGCAGTGAGCTCTAATAGGTGGACGTCGGAGATATCCAAAAATAAATGGTCCCGTTTCATCAGTTGGATTAACTGTCGTATTGGCTAGAATCTCGGGACTGGAAGTAATCTCATATGAATAATTTTTATTGCTGATCGATCCTATCCGTAAGAAAGAACAAAAATTCTCATGTTATAGCCACAGAGCAATCAGTCTGACTTACTTAAAATTTAAAACATAAGGCTAAATAATCATCCAACACTTAACTAATGGACAAGCGACTAGGTTGGTTTCAGGCTTAGGATTTATATATAAAGTTTCAGTACCTAAAACACAGACATGTCTGTAAACTCTCAACTATCGTTGTATTTCCTAACCTTAAGGTTACTTTTTGTCGGCAAATCATTAGATTAGCTTTTTCAAACTTCCATTTTTTTACATTTTTTTTTTAACCTCAGGAAGATTTTTTCCGACTGAGAAACATTTCTCACCTGTCACCTATACTAGTTTCTAATATCTCATACTGATTGTGAGACATTAATCTGATGATTGTAAGAATGAATTCAGAAAGGAAGAAATCTTTCGTTTGTTTCTAAATTTTTAGAGTGATGAATAATAATTACTTACCAATACCTTACTAGTTGACAAATATCATGATATTAATGACAAAAATGTGAATTATATGAAGAAAATATATCGGACGTTTTCGCATATGAATTATATGTTGGTTGGAAGTAATTGATAGGAAACCGTGAATCTAAGTTTCGTGTTGTATGGAGTTTGTCAGCCGAGTGTGTTCATCATCTTGAGGTAAATTACACTCCCTGATGTCTTTCAGCTTCATAGTCAGAAAAGTTACCGCTGAGATATTTGAACCAAAACTGACCTTCTGTAGGACTAATTATGAAGCTAGGCGACATGGGATTAAATTTATTAGGCAGCATCAGTTCCTTCAAGATTATGGTCACACTTTGCTGTCGAGGGCCAAGTAGCAAGAAATTTAAGTTTAGGGTTTCCTGTCGACAACCTTCAACCTCCACTTTAAAATTTATGCTCTTGATTATTTATCAAACCATTATATATATGATACTATTTATTGTTTGTTTTTATTTAGGAACAAACTGAAACATATTTTTTGATTATTTTCTGTGTGGAAGCTTTATTAAAAATTGTTGCATTGGGTTTTGCATTTCATCGTAAGGCTTATTTAAGAAATGTATGGAATATAATGGATTTTATTGTGGTAGTTACAGGGTAAGTTGTTATTGTTAATTTTCCAATTTTGTATATTGTACTTTTACTAAAAATAGTTTTCTTAAGTTAAACTCTGAAACTGTGCTATTTTATGAATTCTCAAAAAAATTAGGGAAAACTTTATCCGAAATTTTGTAAAACAAGGACAATAAAATTTGAAAAATTCCCATATTATGATTTAGAATAACATATATAAACGGTCTCCAAGAGGTATTTCCTGGAGTTCTAGTGAGAAACAGTGACCGATGGAGTTCAACAGGATCTGTTGTGAGACAGTAGCTCACTGATGACAATGGTTGATGTGTCGCTCAATTTCGTGGATTTGTTGAAATTATACATTAACACCGTTGGATGTCGTCCCAGTGGTCTGATAGTTAAATACTCGCACGCGAGATTGATATGTCCTGGGTTGGAATCTCGCAGGGCGCAATCATGGATGCGCGCTGCCGAGGAGTCTCACAATAGGACGTAAAGGCCATCTAGTACTTCCAGGTTTTCCATGGTGATCTAACTTCAATTGACTCATGAATTCAACAATTAAAGTATGTAAGCGAACAATATTGCTTTCTTTTAGATCCTCATCACGCTTTACTCTGATATACAGTAATGTTTATATGCATATACGAAATTATTAAAACAATCAAGGCAGTTTATGGATCAATGATAACAATGGAATAGATTACATAAATAAGTGAAAAGTACAAATTAATAGTGTGATGACAGGTGTACTAGTGTTGATAAGACTAATAAATTCTTGAATCAATGTTACATAATAGAAAGTCGGTCAATGATTAGAAAAACATACACACTGAAATACCATTCATAAAAATTATGGGGTTACGTAACAGGAAGTGTTCAGATAATTGGACTGTGAAACGTATATTTGAGGGAAAACAAGACAAAATGGTGGAAGGGGTGGAAAAAATAAACGAAGAGAGAGTATGGAAAATAATGAAGCGATAAATAAAATCATTTATTGAGGTCAAGGATGAGATGAGGGTGTTGTAAATTTCTTATGAGCACAAAGACTTGGATTGTTGGCTCGAATTCCTATAGCTTCTGCTATGTGTAAGAAACGAGATCGAAAACCTTATGGAAAAGTAGTAGGAATATGATAAATAACTTTAAATGACTTATTTCTGTCGATCATGTGTAATAAAACGGAGCTGAGCATTGTTTTGACAGTACCTTTTCCTAACCATGAAGGGAGGTGTTGACTAACTCTTTGGTTCAGTTGTCTGGTAGTGCACCGACTACAGTTTTCTTCACAGGAGCAGCTGAATTCGTAGACACACACATAAGTGGCGTGACCATGTAACTTATGTTTTAGTTTGGGAATCACCATAGATCGGGTCGAGTATGATAGACAGAGGTTGGCTGCGTTAAACCTTCTCGTCACTGCTCTAGTTAGTCTATCACTTAGTACATCACCAGAAAAATAAACACTGTGAAAGATGAAATGGATTCATTTTACTATTGTACATTTTAAATATTCTACATACTTATTTGTAGAGATGCTTTGTTTTACAAATAAGATTCTGTGTATAACGAAACGGCCGTCCAGTGCTTCCAGGTTTTCCATGATGGTCTAGCTTCAATTAACTCATGAATCCAACCATAAAATGACTAAAATCTCTACAAAACCCCTTCTGAAACTAACGATTAGTAAACAAAATGCTAGCTTATTTAAAGAACAAAAAAAGTAATCTGCAAACGCATTGTTAGTCGAACAGTGAGAATTTATCAAGACATTGAAGATACAATTTTTATAATTAGACAAAACGATTTTATGCTCTATTATTTAAGAAATATGTATAAAAGTGAATATATTTATGAAAATTAAACACTTTGCGATTTCAATAGTTGAAATCATGAGTCAATTGAAGCTAGACCACCATAGAAATCCTGGATGCACTGGAAGGTCGTTCCGTCCCAGTATGGGACTCCTCAGCAGTGCGCATCCACGACCTCGCCCCCTGCGAGATTCCAACCCAGGACCTATCATTCTCGCGCACGAGCGCCTAATCATTAGACTACTGGGACGGCAATTAACGGTATTAATATCTAACTTCAACCAATCCACTTTTCAATTTCCTTATATTAATCCTTTCAAAACAAAAAGGGATAAATATTGTTTTTGATAAGCTTTCTAGACTAATTCATCTCCTAATGAGTAGATTGGTTGACTTTCAACATTGTTTATATCTAATAGAACTAATTCTATAATCATTCAAATAATCTATATAGATTTATTTACAAAACTATCTAATTCTTTGAATAAAACAAATATAATCTATAATCTTTAAATGTTACCTGTGTGAAAGAAAACTAAATCTCAGATATTGCAGTTTAAATAGCTTTATCTTAAAACTAATCTAAAGTAATCGGTTGATTAATCTTTATTCTACTAACAAAGAAAAAAACTTTTTAGTGCTAAGCTCAATTCAACAATAACTCACCATCCTTTTTATTGGAGTTTAGTCGATCAAACCATCTAGTTCAAAGTACAAAAACTCCATCAAAATCATCCACCTGAGCTATAAATTTTCTCCACCATCTCAAACTCACCATCCTGAATGGAAAATAAGATAAATTTATTCGGTAAGAAAAAAAGGAAACCCAGCTGTTTGAGATCATTTATCTATATAAGTACATCTTTTAGTCAAGTTATTAGATTGGCAAAATAAAATCAGTCAGGAAATAAAACAAAAAAAAAACAATCTTGTATAGATTGATATCTGATAGAACGTAACTTAAAATAAAAATTCATCTGTTATAATAAAGAAACTCACTTTATCTACATTTACATAAACCATCAAAAGATGATGTTAATCTAGTACGGAATAGCATTCACTGGATGGTCTAAACTTTTATTAATAACAACAATACTGAATATTGTTCTGGAAAAATAGAATTCAATCAAAGAAGAGAACTTGAAAATGAAAAAACTCAAGATTCAGCGAAAGATGAAGAACAATTGTAGCTATGTTCTAACTTTTTCCCTGTTTCCTATTAATGTATAACGTAATGAAACCGTCAATTAGAGAACAGTGAATTAACGACCAGACCAATGACGCATAAAAACCTGTACGAGCAGTCTAGAGTCCTTACTGGTCCTGCTTCCCGCCTAGCCCTGCCTGTTAAATCCAGAATACGAATCTCAGCCTCTGCATTATGAATCATTTATTTCAAACATACTGGGTTTATATACTAACCAGACAGACCATATCGTACCATAAAATACGAAACAAAATTTGTACAAGTTTTAGTCAAACGTGGCTGTGAATGTGGGGGATAGAAATTGATAGACTGGGTATAACTCAAAAATCGCAAATTGTATAATAATAGTTCATAGGTCAAAATAAAGCTTATAATATGAGGAACATGAATGTTAATAGTTTAGTTACATAACAATTATAAGATAAAAATATACTTATAGTATTAGTCCAGAAATAGATACAAACAGTTACCATTTATTATTCTCATCAGGATATAACAAGCTTATTTACTGTCACTGACTTCTGGATGTATTACTCAACATATTCATTATCTGATTCATCTCAACTTTGAAGTCTTCCCTTGTCAGAATGGCTCAATTTAATAATCAATGATTTCATGGATTAATACTATGTGTTCGTTAGATAACCTCAAAGTCATCTTTGATATGCTAGTTACCATGAGTAAACATTCTTTTTATTCAGTTTGTAAAACTAAGATAATTAAATCAGTTAAAAATGTATTGTTAACTTATTTGTTGAGGTACTTGTTTTTATCTCAAGTTTACCAAGATAAAGCTTTTGAGTAGATGGTTGAATAGATCTTTGATTTAAATCTGTATATAAACGTATAAAACGTGTAATCAGGAACTTCATTATTCTGTACTTATTATTGGTATTTGTCAAATTTTGATTATGTAATTTTACATAATTCCATTTTATGTTCATTAATTTTCTCCAGTCTTTTAGCTTACATTCTGCCCAACTTAAATCAACCAGCTGTACGTGCATTACGTGTGTTACGACCACTTAAATTAGTAACTGGTTTTGAAAGTAAGTTATTCTGTACAATAAAGCTGTTTTGAAATATATAAATATAGTGTAAAAACTGTATACAATACAAATGATACACAGCTAAATCAAGACACCATATAATATATATTGATGGATTGTATGTACTTGCTTGGAATTTTTAAGCTAAAAAAGACATATCTCATGTAATGCTTCCTTATTTCTTTAGTGTTGAACATATCTTATCACTTAGATAGGAATTATGCCTTGCTAACAAGTATCGATTAGTATAAAACCTAAATCTAAGGTTTTATGACCATTCTATTTATTCACCTAATACAGAAATGAGTATTTAGGTTTATCCGAAATGTATCTTTCTTAAAGTTAAGCATCTTATGTGATTGATGCTTTTATTATCTTATTTATTCATCAAAATATTCAATCGATAATTCACAGTTTACATTCACTTTTATTTACTCTCCTCACAACACTACTACTTATATATCTACTTATTTATTTATTATTTTTAGGTTTACAAATTGTACTCAAATCTATCATTAGAGCTATGGCTCCATTACTTCAAATTAGTTTATTAGTATTATTTGCTATAATTATATTTGCAATAATTGGCTTGGAATTCTATTCAGGTGGATTTCATATGACATGCTTTGATTTATGTGAGTGAAATAATGATGCATTTTTCTTTTTTTTTTGTTGTTGAATAAATCATTATTATTTTGTTAACAATTATTATTAACACCATAATTTTCATTAAAAGATATATTGTGTTGGATTGTTTTCAATGCTTGTAATCAAATGAAATAACCAATGTAACACAACTCTTAGTTCTATTAAAAAACAAAGTTTATTATCATTATAAGTAGAGGTAGATAGTGGCTAGCAGTGGAATCCAGAACTCGGGTTTCGTCCTGTTTGTGACTCGTCAGATGGATGCACTTCGGGATTCAAACACAGTGTAGTGAAGGAGAAAACAAGCTTATTTAAATACAATATTACAGACTGTCTTAGTAAAATATGAGAACCATACAGTAAGTATTTCATGTGCAAAATGTTCATCAATTGTCTCAGACCTGATTGTTGTTTCGTCTTTACAGCAATTATTCTCTGTTCTCGTACTCTTTTCTTCGATCTTTCTAACCTTCTGCCTCCAGACATTTCACTCTCGATTGATGATATATACTACTTATATCTATGAGCATCAGTAGCAACACCACAACAGTATCGTTCACCTGAAACGTCACCACGTCATTCAATTAGCTACTCAATCCAGATATTGGTTATTTGAATCTCTTCATAGATGTTTAGGACTGGAATTGATCAGTCTCTTATTGATATATGTGTATGACGTGTGGATTGCCTCGATATTACCTTAAGACCTGGATCCCACTGCTAGCCAATATCCATCTCTGTTTATAATGGTTGTGACTTATGGAAATATCGAGGCAATCCACATTGGATGCACATATGCCAACAAGAGACTTATCAATTGCAGTTCTAAATAACAATGGAAAGGTACAACTAAAACCTCACCAAGTGAATTTATTTATTCTACCGTTTAATTTCTCTGATAATAAAAGCGAAAAACTGATTAGTTCTTGTTGAAGTAACAGGAAGTTCTATACACTTATAGCTTGATATGGAAGTCGATATTTGGCCTTCAAATAGACGATTTTAACTTATTTATGTTATTGAACTTTTATAGTTCTTAGAAGCAAAAAAATGAATACGAGATGGTGGAGAAGATTTACAGTTCATGTGGATGACTTTGATAGGGTTTTGTTCTCTAAGCTCAAAGAATAAAACTCCATCAAAAATGAATACATTATAAATTGTATTATTAATAAATAATTTGAAAGTTACAATCAGATCACATAAGAGTATGTTGAACAATTGTATTAGGGTAGAAGGAATGTCTATACATATGGTATAACCTATTATTTTTTTGTCTATAATGTACGACTTTAAAGAATAATAATAATAATAGTAATAATAATAACTCATTTGGTGCTAATGTAATCTATACTCCATATTAAGAATAAAACATAATTTTCAACTAGGGGCTAAGCATTCGCGCGTGAGACTAATAGGTCCTGGATTCGAATCTCGAGAGGGGGCGAGGTCGTGGATGCGCAGTGCCTAGGAGTCCCATACTAGAACGAAACGGCCGTCCAGTGCTTCCAGGTTTTCCATAGTGATCTAGCTTCAAGTGACTCATGATTTCAACTATTGGAATTACTAAAATCTCCACAAAACCCCTTCTGATAGTATTTTTTTTGTCTATAATGTACGACTTTAAGGAATAATAATAACAATATTAATAATAGTAATAATAATAGCTCATTTCGTGCTAATGTAATCTATACTCTATATTAAGAATAAAACATAAATTTCAACTATTATTACCATGGGTCATTTAAGGACAAATTTTTAGTGTGTTGAAAAAGTGTCATTTTCATATTACTGAGGCATATTTTTTCTTTATCAATATAGGGGTTTGTTGAGATGAAGCGACTGTCCAGTGCATTTAGATTTTCAAAAGTAGTCTAGTTTAGATAGCTTTGTGATTTCAACTGTGGACATACTTTGTTTTTTACTGTTCATGATCATATGAACTGTAAATTTTGTTGTTTTTTTCTTCGCTGAAATGCCTCTATCTTTATTTTTTACTTTTCAATGAATTTCATCACGTCTTAGGAAAAAGTGGTTTATGTAGAGGTTTATTTTAATTTGTTCAGATTGGTAAAACGAGAATAGCATGATGTGATTATAAAAATAACCGAGTTATAGAATAACCACTTTGTAATGATAATTCATACACATTGACTGATTGTGTGTTTCGATTACATCTCGTAATCAGCATATATCTTGAAAAATTTTATAGAAGTGTCATGAGTTGTATGTCATTATGATTCAAGTAATCCATCTAACTTCTATATAAGTCGTTTCTTCTAATTGTGAATAAAATTTGATCAGTATTAAGGGACTAAATCATTAGACACAGTACACTGAAATATCAAGTCACTAAACTCATACCAAAAATTTGTGTAGGAAATCTAGATCGAAGGATCTGATGAATGTTAAAGACTAGAGGATACAAAATGAAAAATGTCTTGTTGCCTTTAAGAAGATCTGTTATAATGTGATTAGGTTACATAATTTTCTGTTGGAGTTGAGTTCTTTGAGCTTAATGGTTTAACTATGATACTTTCATTGTTCTTTAATTATCCTAATAATATCATCACCACAAACTTTAGATAGAAATGATCTAGTTAATTTTTCAAGGGTACGATCAACAACTCATTTGGTCAACCTTGATTTTGATTGGTCATTGTTGATTCTTGCCCTATCATTGTCTGCGTAGGCTTATTTTGAAAATTATCGCAGGATAATTGAAAATTTAAACAGAAGTATTAGAGATTAGTCATTACTTTAAGTGTATGAAAATAATGAGAAAAGCATGGGAGTGATTGTAAAACATGATTATTATGTATGAAACGTTTGAAGAGATTATTACCAATTAGTTACCGAGTATGTGAAATTTAAAGAAACGTTAGCTCCATGGTGAAATGAAAGATTATAAGGACTGGTTTCGGATGTATAGTTCAGTCATGAACCTTTCAAAGGTTAAAGCCTCTGAAGTACATCAGTATTTTTGAGTTGTAATCCGTTTTTACACTATTGTTTGACCATGTAGATGATTTAAAAGAAATTCTTGTCAGGACGGCGTTATGAAAAATGATAATATTGTCTCAGTATAAAATGTTTGATTGTTGTGAATCTTTCTTTTTAACTCTATTCAGTATAATACTTGCCGGTGCATTCAGAATGCCGTTACTTTATGCTACCAATGAAATATATATAGTATTTGTAGTAAACATGCAATAGTGATACATGTATACATATGATTGGTAGTACTTGGTCAATATTGGTTTTATATAGGCTGACTCTCGTTAAATCCATGTTTCAAATTACGTGAAATTTCTTTGCATAATGTTTTCTTAAAATAGCATATTATGGTACACAACTTTTAGCAAACCGTTAGATCATTTCTGTTTGTTCTCATTTAACATATACTCTATTTCGTTTACTGCGAGAATTTTAAGTAATTTATGTTTAATTAATTGTTGAGATCATGAGTCAATTGAAGCTAGACCACCATAGCAAACCTGGAAGCACTGGACGGCCGTTTCGTCCCATTATGGGACTCTTCAGTAATGATCACCCACGATCTCACCTCGCGAGATTCGAACTCATTCATTTAAATGTGGTAATAGTTTTAGAAAACTTAACAGAAAATTTCATGTTAGGGATTTGCTAATGATTATTCATTTAAAAGTTGATTTCCATAACTGATAAACAGAATCTGGCTAATTATTAGAAACTAAGAAACAGTCAATAATTGTTTCATCCAATTTTAGGACTATTCTGTTTTGCAAATTGAAGTTAAACTACTAGAATTAATTTGAAACATCCAATTCCTGTCTAGAAATAATAATTTTAAACTATCTCATTGGAGTCGAATAGTTTATGTTTTTAGTTCAATTGATTCATGATATTGGATGACAATAATTTGGTAACTAATAAGTCTTGTTCCCCCGAAACAGTTGAAATATACTACTTAATCATCATAATAATCAAAAGTTTATTTCAATATCTTTAAATAATCTAATAAGATTAATGATCAACGAAGTATATAAGTTTTTTTCGATGATGACCAACACTTCAGAGAAACATAAATTTATTCTCACTTCTTATATAAACTGTATCACTGTAATATTTTAGATAATCCAGACTATTTACCAATTTCTTTACCGAATCGACCAACATTAGCACCATGCAGTCTTTCAAATGGTTCAGCAACTAGTACAGGTTCTTTACCACATGGAGCATTTGTATGCCCACCAAATTATGTATGTAAAGGTTACTGGGAAGGACAAATTATGGCATAACTAGTTTTGATAATATTGGTTATGCTATGCTTACTGTATTTCAATGTATCACTATGGAAGGTTGGACGGAAATAATGTATTCAGTAAGTAATGATCAGTTATTTTTTGAAAGATTAAAACATTAAGAATAATTTTTAATTTTTTGGACAATTCCATATTTATAAGTACAGATGGATCCAGTGATTTAATGGTTTTTTTAGACAGGAGTTTTGTTATAACTTGTCATATGCTTTCATTTTGGTGCAACGTTTACATCTGTTTTTCATTGTCCAATAAAAGTCCAAAATCTAACATTTTTGAACATTTTTTCATTCAGTCAATGAGTATTGAATGCAAGAATGTAACTTTGAGAATTTCATTTCAAATACCCTCGGTGTTACGTCTTTGATCTGTATACCTACTAATATACAGAAGATAACTTGTCTCAGTCTAGATTAAGGCCTTGACTAGTTCAAACTTGAGGCTAGAATTGCGTGAGTTCGAAATGAGACTAACTGCCTTGTAAGAGAGATGAAAAGCATTCTATCATCTGACTGGTTAACAAGCGAAAGAGATAAGTCAACTGCATCACTACTTGATTTATTCCCGATTCTGATTACACTCCGATCCAGTTTCGATTCAGGTTAGCGCAAAAGTTCTATGAATAAATAAATGACTAACACGACCACAATGCACAAACAATTAAAAAAATACAATCATGTCAAAAACTGGGGATTACGGTGGAAAAATAGAGTACCCAAGGTTACGCTTGAATTGCAATAGCATTGGAACAGAAAAGAGTATGGTCGTGAACCATGCATCAAACGAAAGCTTATGGTTTGTAACAATAAACTAGGGAAAAAAATAAATGCTAGTGTTTCATAAGCTTTGAATTAAGTGAAATAACACCCCCAAAAATAGCTTCCGTTGTTTGTCATAGCTTTTTTGTTTCATTGTTCACATCATTCACTTATTCACATTTATCTGTTATGAGCACGTCACTATTGCTCATCTCAGTATGCCAGATATATAAAAACAAACAAATAAAAGCAAATGCTGAAGTTTTAATTAAAATAACCAGTGAACGTATCGTCTTTATGTGCAGTACTTAACCACATGTCAAAGAAAAAAATTCCAGAGAATGCTTAATACTCCTCACACAATGAACGCTGAGAAACACTTACATAACCTCTCCATTCATCTTAGCAGTTGTTAATTCGAATTGAATGACATACCTATACCTTCTGATTGTATTGACTGATAGTCTTTAAGTCTGAGAAAGTGGAACTTATTATATTTAGCTTGAATTAATTGGTTAACATAACATATAACTTTATACAACACATTCTTTACAAAATGGCATTATATTTGATAAGCATTCACGAGACTATTTTACCTATGTATTTTATATTATTCATGGTTGAATGAATGGATATATTTGATGAAAGTGAGTATGGTTTGATATGCAGCTAGAATTTATCGAGATTGTTAGTAGTAGAAATATTTGTTCATAGTCGATTTCAAGTATATAAATCTTAATCGACTTACACCCACTTTCAATAATTACCTAAAAATAATGTTTTACAATGTAACTGTAGTATCTCTCTATCAAGGTATATCCACAACCACTTATTAATAATTTTATGGTTATGAGTTAACCAGGAGCAACTATAACTAAATTTACAGTAGACCAGTATGTTTTAAGTAGCTTTCTGTCAATTGTTTGTTACATTGTAATTCTATGTATTGTTCAATATACTCTAGTCTCTGCTTAACTCGTTTTATCTTAACTGTGAATATAGTTCCTTGATCTTTTAAGATGATAATTTTACCAAACCATCTATTTTATCATTTTTTTTATTTAAATATTTCCATAACTACCTCTGAATTTCTTTTATTCATTTTGTGATCTAAATTTACATTTTCACTTACTTGGATTTGTAAAGGTTTGTACTATTTAACAGTAGCTATCAACCCGAACTAACATCAACTACAGCCATCACGTTGGGTTGTAGTTAAATGAACACTTATTGGCTGACCATTTTATTTTATCAGATGACAATAATCATAATACTTTTGGTTGAACTATTGAATAAAGACACAAGTGTATGAAGTAGGTAAATCGACACATTTCACCCATCATATTTAATAATTTTATTGTAATCTGCTGAAACTAGTTTGTAGCTGCGTCGAAATTCACATTGTGTTCTTGATTGTCAGGTTGATGATATACAAAGTTCAGTTACGTGACACATTTATTTAAAAATGAAAATCAGGGAACGCTAAATATCCGTCTACTTTATTATAAGATTTATTAACAGTATGTAGTGTTAACATTACAGAAGATCGAACACAAGTCATTCAGATTTTCAGGAGGACACGAAATGATTGAACTGATAAATTTGAGTCAAGCTCAGTCAACCTGTATTGCAGAGGAATCCTTATCCTAAGTTATTGGTATATAAGTTAACGATTTTGACCTGATGGAATTAATAAAACTGCTCGTTGGATTCAAACTAAGTAGATAAAGAGTGTTTTGCTTGCAGTCAGGTTATGTGTTTAGATGTATGCCACCATCTGAATCTGACGATGAAGGTATAATACAGCAGTCTGTCACGTTTTACAAGGTTATGAGCATATTTCCTAGGATCTATGGTCAGTGGTAAATTTTACATTAGGTCATTAACACCAGTCACCTCATGATACAATGTTTACTTATGAAACACTCAATTACTAGACAAATCTACAATTACTCTTCAAGTGAATACAGAAAAAAACTGTTTTAAATTATTTCACATTTACAAAACAAAATGTTCATTGACAGTGTTTTCTTTTTAAAACCTGTCAATCATTCATCTTACAAATCTCATTAACTACAATTGTACACATAGAAATAGATGAGAGTGAAAAAAATTTATATTTTGAAAATGATCAATACGAAAAGAACTTAAACGCATAGTGATTTATTTTTCTCTTTTCTTTTTTCTTTTTATTTCATTGTTTACTTTTTTTCTTTATTAGACAAATGATGCATTTGGTGATCGTTTCAATTATCTATATTTTGTTCCACTTATAATACTCGGATCATTTTTTATGTTAAATCTAGTACTTGGTGTTTTAAGTGGGTAAGTTTGAATTGTTTTAATTCGGTTCAATCATTAATACATTTTAGATTATATATTTAAGGAAAGCGGCAGCAACAGTAATGGAAATTGTACTACATAATGATAATCAATTTAGTGTCTCATTGGGCGAAATTCAATTGGATAACATTTTCAGCTTACTATTTAGGTGCCTATCTATAACTTATAGTCTAAATTATAAAATAATCTGATATATATTTACATAGAAATGTATATATAAACTTAATTGTTTGCTTTACTTCATTTATTTTAATCTATTTTATCCTTAGGTTTCCACTATTCCTGAGATTGTTGCTTACTTTAATTGACTGAAATTAAAAGAATAACCTATGGATTCCAACACATATATAAAGATTAAACATTAGAAGAGAGACCTGTAGGTCCTGGATTCGATTTCTGATGATGTTGTGGATGAGCACTGCCGAGAAGTCTCATATAAAAACAAACCACCTCGTCATTGCTTCTTGGTATTCACTTATTGTTTAATAAAAGTCATAACATGTTACTTAGCTTAAAAATTTGAGATTTATCTAATTTCAGTAGTTGAGATCATGATTCAGGCGAAGCTAGACCATCATGGAAAACCAAGAAGCACTGCAGGGCCGTTTAGTCCTATTGTGGGACTTCTCAGTAGTGCTCATTTACAATCTTTAAAGGTTAAGCGCTCGCGCGCGATACTGATAGCTCCTGGGTTCGAATCTCATGAGGCGGGATCTTTGATGAGCACCGCTGAAGATCCTTACAATAGGACGAAACGGCCGTCCAGTGCTTTTAGGTTTTTCATGGTGATCTAGCTTCAACTAGCTCATGATCTCAACCATTGAAATTATTATAATATTCACAAAACCCCTTCTGATATTTATCTAATTTTCAAGTCAAAATGTACTGAACACTGGTTAACGATTTGAACCAAGTTCTTTGTTTCAAAGTCTTGTTTTGACCTAAGTAGTTGAGAGGTTTGTTATTTTTGAAGTTAATTTGGATAAAACAGCATTAATTCATTAGTTTAAAGTTCAAGTATACTTAATTAGTGATTAACTGGTAAAATAACTTGAACCAATTACTTTAATAATAATAAAAAAACATTCCGTTTTTTTTTTAATTTGAACATTTATAAAATTTCTACAGTGAATTTGCCAAAGAAAGAGAACGTGTAGAAAAACGTCGTGCATTTTTAAAACTACGTCGACAACAACAAACTGAAAAAGAATTTAGTGGATATATGGATTGGATACAAAAAGCTGGTAAGTATTGTGTTTGTTTTTATTCGCACACGGTATTCAATAATGCATGTTAATAATATAAGAAAATATTGGAAATCAATAAAATTGCCCATAAGTTGCCTGTTGTTCATAGTGTTTTGTTTATTGAGCTTCTACTGTCATTACAAATAACTTCATCGTTGATTATTTTGAATAAAAGTCCAGTTCATTATATCATTTTGTTGTCTGTTAACTATCTAAAGATGTTTATTTGATGTAATGAGATCTTTTGGAGAAATTTTACACGTTGTCTTATACAGAAGGCTTTGAATGAGCAGAACAAGGTTTTAAAAAATGACTTATTGACTGTTTTTACAAAGATGACATTAATGACAGTATTATTAAAGTTTTTATGAATCTTTAATTTAAGATATTGCATTTTTTCACATTTGAATTAACTAGTCAATCTAAGCTAGACAACCATTGAAAATCTGGAAGCACTGGACGGCCGTTTCGTTTTAGTATGGAACCTCTCAGTGAAGTTCAATCCGTGTCGGTCATGAATTCATTTTATATTGTAGGTTCTTGTCAGCTGCTTACAACCTGTGATATTTTAAATCATAATTACATAATGGGTTCAAATTACTTACATGAGAGGGTTTGGTTGGAAGTTATATTGAAAACATATTAGTATAGTATAGCAAGAGTGTAAATAAATTTAATAGACTGAATATTGCAAATATATACCTTATGTGAAAGAACATTTCACAACATTGATTGTGACAACATTTCAAACAACCAGAAACAAGTGATTACATTATGAGTAAACATTGATAAAAATAAAACGAGTAGAGCTCATGTAACCGTCAACTGTATTTATAAATTTACATGTACCTGCCAAAGCAGCTACGTTGGTCGAACATAAAGGAGGGCATATATTAAATTTTTTGAACATGTTCTGAAAAGCCTCGGAACAAGAGAAAGATAGAGTCTAAACAGTGCAATCACGAAACATCTCCTTGATACAGAACATCAAGTCGATAACTTGAAATCTTTCAAGGTGATTGGTAAGGAGCCAAACTTCAGTCTTCTGAAGTTTGCTGAAATCGTTGCTATCAGGCGTCAGAAACCTGACTTAGGTATTCAAAAAGAGATGGTTATTAATCTTTCCTTGCCTTGGTTACAAATATTCCTTCGCTGCATCTTAAATTTTCTTCTTTTTCTTTACACTCTTTCTTGCATTTATTACATCGCTGAGTTTTATTTCAACTATCTCCCAAGTTAATAATTTTATTTTATCAACTGAACTCTACTCCTTTTTTTTTATCAATGTTTACTCATTATGTAATCACTTGTTTCTGGCCGTTTGAACTAATGTCACAATCAATGTTGTGGAATGTTTTTTCACATAAGGTATATATTTACAATATTCAGTCTATTGCTTCTTCCAGCCAAACAAGTTGGTGAAGCCTAGTTGATCTTTCTGGAGAGAAACAGGCCACATTGAAGCACGACACAACTACAGGTGCTAGAATAGATGTTTTTGAGATCCGTTGGAGTTTGCTCTTTGACGAGCAACTTCTTATGTAACATGCACCACTTTTGTAAATTTTTTGTCATTTTCCAATCCAAATGTAATTATGCTGTGTTTCCCTATGGATTTCGTAATCGGATTGTGGGTATCGGTAGGAGTGAGTAATTATCCCAATCTCCACCACCCGAGTTACCGCTCACGTTAGTTCATGAGTCATTTGTCCCACTATCCAGGAGGCACAACGCGAACGTGAGAGTCGGATTTTGCCTCCCTTCAGTCTATTAATTTTGTTTACACCTTTGCTATACTATATTAATATGTCTTCAATATAACGTCCAATCAAACTGTTTCATGTAAGTAATTTAAACCCATTTTGTAATTATAATTTCAAATATCACAGGTTGTAAGCAGCTGACGAGAACCAAACGAAATAAAAATGAATTCATGCTATTCTGGTAGAATGTTTTTTCTTACTCTTTTCAAAATGATAACGGGAACTAAGTGTGTATGAAATTTCTGTTTAAACAGTGTGTCCAAAGAGACCAATTTGACAGGTTCAATTTACAAGTAGTCGTTCAAACAGTGAATCAGTAATCAACAAACACAAATTCGTGAATATTCAATGTTTGTTATGCATTTGAAAAATCTCGAACAAACTAATATTCTTCATAAGAACTGATTTTATTTCACTTAGGGTCAAAGTTAAAAATGCTCTCATTGAAGTTTTATTTATAAGATTTTTACTAACTAAATTTGATTTAAAAAATTATGACTAAGCTCCATTGTCAAGTTCTCATTTAATTGACATATGAATGATCTAGAAAAAGCTTATATCTTCCAAATATCCACCTTGAATATTGAAAGAGAAGAAAATTATTCCGATCTCCAGTTTGTTCCTTTTTTTTGTATTTTGATATTCATTTAAATTTGAACTCATGTCAACAAGTCAATCGCATGAGTAAATTTTAATTGACTTTATTATATCATTATATTTTAACTATAACATACTAATAATAGTATTATTCAGTTATATTGATTTTTGATGGAGTTTTGTTCTCTGGGCTGGATGGTTTAGTCGTGGAGATTTCATCGTTCTTCTGAATGACATCATCAGCACAAAATTCAGGTAGAAGTGAAATGTTGATCACCGAAAATCAATCAACATCGAGTTCTACAGGACAAGCTAGGAACTATATGTGGAGAAATTCGAACACTTCACTCCTGTCTAAAGTTTGTGCTGATGATGTTGGTCAGAACAACGATGAAAGCTCCATGACCAAACCATCCAGCTCAGAGAACAAAACTCCATCAAGATCATCCATCTGAGCTACAAATCTTCTTCACCATCTCACTATCAATTTTAGTACAATTAAAGTATTTTAAACATAAATTGTTTAATATTCCATTTATTATTGTAATTATTCAAAATATATTTTTAAAAATATTGTTAACAGTCAATATGAGCTACTTATTAATAGTCGGTTCAGTTGATAAAACTATTTTCTCAGTTATTAAGTTAAATTATTTAAGTTCTGATGTAAATTGTCTCTTGTTTTATTAAAGATGTTATATCTGGAACTTACAGTTTTCTTGTTATATCACGTACAACTTAAGCACTTGAATTCTAGAACCCTCTAAGTCACAAGTTAGAAGACAGAAGACGAGTAGAAAGGAATTTTATTAGAAAAAAACAGTTTTGAGTATGGTACAGAATACTCAGGTATTTATAGTTTTTAGTAAAAATGCAATCATCATTATAATCATCCAATCCTCGTATAGGGGTTTCAGCATTTGTCCAATCTGGAAGTTACACGTCAATATTATCTAATGTTTTTCAAAAGATAATTGGTTTAAATGACTTCGGCATTTTCAGAGCTTCTTAGACCTGTCTTAAGTTTACTGGTAGACGTCCTGCAAAAGGATAGACTAAAAAAAAATGTACCCAGAAAATTGTAGTATTTCTTAGTATTCTTTTTATGATAGCACACAAGTACATACAATTAGTATTTATCATTATTCAGTTTAAACAAATCTGAGACAGGTAGCTTAACTACGATATTTGCACAGTTGGTAAATAAGTAACTCAAACATTTGAACAGATCCCTTACCTATCATAATAACAAACTATCTTTTTTTTCTCTTTATATAGAAGAGGTAATTTTGGCTGAAGATACTACTACAGCAGATGAACGAATGCGTATTATAACAGGTAAATATTATGGAATAAATAAAATATTTAAAATAACAACCGCTTACTGAAATATGAACTAGGATTGTAATAATTTCACGGTTAAAGCGTTTCATACTTACACTATAATTTGGTTGAATAAATTTTGTCATTTGTTTTAGTCTGATTCATTAGTTGCTTTTCATAACTCTGGTTTTATCATATACTAGATACGTCGAAATAAAATTACGAATAGTAATCTATAACTTACATATTTACGCCTGTATCACTCGTGGAGGAGCATATGCTGCTCACCACGATTCTTCATCGAACTATGTACTGGGTAATCTTTTCAGTTGTTATTCATTCTTCTAGTGTCTGCTTCCGATTCTCAGAGCAGTATGTCCTTTGGTCTTCCTCTTTACCTTTAACTTTCAGGATTCCAAGTTAGCGCTTGACTCATGATACAGTTTGATGATTTCCGCATTGTATATACTTTCCACAGTAATTTATAAACAAGAAACAAATAGATAAGTGACAGTAAGCGACTAAAAGTAAGCTTCACAAAAGGCAAGAAAAGTAATAGAGCAAAAAATGATAAGAGTATGAATTCATCACATTTTTTGTCAATCCTCATCAGTTTCATAGAAAGATAAAAGAAAATATATTACACTAAGGAAAATGTTAACCATGAATAGTTGAAACTACAATGGCTATTAATGACGTACATCATCATCATCCAAATCATCATCATCATCATCATCAATTAACAATCAAAAATGGTAATTTTATCACAATTCAATGTTGTATGAACTTATGATTACCCAATCATTTACCTTAATTGATATAATTCATAGGACCAATTAATCATTGTTCATAAAGTCAATTTATTTGTACCGATTCCGGAAAACAGATCAACTAATCAGAATAACCAGTTATTTGATGAGATAAAAATGATACATTTACACAGAAAACTTTTTTTTTCACAAATTAAACATAATTCAAGTTTACTTAAAAGAAAGAATTTTTTCGATCTGAGATTTATAAGTCATTTATGAAACTACAAATAAATGTCAAGTTTATTTAGATATCACGCGCCACAGGAACAGGAATAACTGGAGTTTAATATGGTAGTTGTGTTAAATCCATGCACTATTATTAAATTCTAAACAGTTATCTAAAGTCCTCTGTTGATTTATTAGTTGAAAGTTTACAGGTCGTTAACTTGCATAAACCGTAGAGAAGAGAAGAAATCGTACAATTGTCTTCTATTTTATCATTCTACACCATTTTATAATGACACTATCAAGCATTTCTAATTGAGTCATTAGTAAAGTGCATAATTTAAAGGAATATTGAATAATATAACGAGATCCTTGGTTGCAAAATTATGTCGTTTGAAAGTATCATGTGTCAAACTAAAATCAACTGAAGAATCATGTAATGGCCTGGAAGTATAAAAAAACGGGATTTGAGATTCACCACCAGTATTAACGTCTGAACCTGATAAACATTAAGCTTCAATCACTCAGATCTCTTGAAAATAATTCATTACTTTCGGACTACGAAGTCAAAATACAATAAGCCGGAAGGATATTGTTGACGACTTCAAAACGTGGACAAAACAGTTGTTCTTCCCTGTTTCAAGCGTTTCCCTTGCTGATATCAGTTAGTGTGAACCGAAATAAAGGATTACCATACGTGTAATAGTGATTGGATATGCAATGAATTTCATCATACTCTAGTTGGAAGTAGTGATTACTAGATTCGTACAAGTCATGACTGAATGAGTAATTCACTCGTGATATTGACGGAGGGACTAAATTCGAAAGTGCAAATTATTTGATTCTGTTTTTTTGATATAAACATCTCATGTCGGAGACGAAATTTATAGATCCGGGTTCAAATCCTGTTTAAAGTCACCAGACCTTGAATAATGACTACAAACGTATAGAGAAAATCTGTCTAATTCTGTTTGATTTATAATGACCCAATATTTATATAATTCAAGTTAACAGTGTGCTAAATTTGAAAACAAAGTACACAGATGTCATGCCCTAGATTTTAGTAAGTATAACACTTTTAATTAAATGGTATATATGTACATCAATTACTGAATAAACAGAGCGTAATTTTGCGAACGAAGAACCCAAGTGGAGAAAACTAATTTATAATTTAATGCCAAATTAGAGAGTGCTTTCATAAAAGATGAAAACTACGCATTAAATACATAATTTGCACATCTTCCATCAGTTGTCCTTTACATGCTTCCTGATTCTTTCAATTCTCTTGTTATTGCAATTACTTTCGGTCCTTTTCTGTTTTCTTCAATTGGATCTTCTCAATCTTCTGCTGACATTCACCCTACTTTCGATTAATGTTATATACTGCTGTTATCCGTCAACATATGTAGCATACATGATGTGTGGGTGAGGATGATAATGGTTGGTTGCTTGCTAAGTCAAACCAGTTCATAGTCTGACAGGTGATATATGAGTTGTATATTCTTTCACCCTAGTTATTATTGGATCATCATCGGGTTTCGGTGTGGAAATATATTTACCTTCTAGTCAGGCTAACCACGTGTTCTTGATCTGAGTCATGTTGAAGTCCTACAGAATAAATACTGTAAGGGAATCTAGTGTCTATTCTAAGGTGAATTAACATCTCATTCGTGTAGACGAGGAGAACCAACCGTTATAACAATATATTACGATAGTATGCTTAAAGTTAGAATGATCACCAGATAAACCTAATATGAGACACTAACAGTCCAGTAAAAGAAAAATATTGATGCAGCTCTTTTTTTCCTGTATAATATACAATTTTCCTTTACACCATCATGTCACACTACCTTTATGAAACATGTAGATGTGTATGATAAGATGGTCGTTGCAGGTGGTCGACAGGAAACCCTGGACCCGGGTTTCGTGCAACTTAGCACTCTTCAGCAAGGTGTACCTGTAATCTTGAGGGAACTGATTCTCCCTGACAGATTCGATTCCGTGTCACGCAACTTCACAGTCAGAGACTTTACAACTAGGCTATCCGGGCCGCGACCGACCTCCTATAGGACTGAGATGTGATCATAATAGATTGATCACTGGGTGGTGATTAACGTCATGTGTGTCAAGTCCTTTTGGTGCAGATCGAATGCTATCGACCAAGTTTTTATGACAATTAGATACATATGTGCAATATCTATTTTTATATTGAAGTAATAATTGACTGTCATAAAACATAGTTGCTATGCAGTGAATAAACTACTCAACATTAGATTATCAGTTATGTAGTTCATTTCTGAAACTAAGAAACATAGCTGTTAGATTCATATCAACCTTATACTTAACCGTACAATGAATAAGAAAAGTATGGTTTATTTAGAAAAGTATCACATTAGTAAATTTGTGGTTACTTGTTTTAACTCTATTACATTCTAGGTTAAGGTAAATCTTCTTTCGCATACTTATTAAGTCTTTCAAGTAATTATATTCCCAATCATAACACTCCTAACTATCAAATCAACCTTTAAGAATTGCTTTCGTTCATAAAATCAGGTTCTTTCTTATATAAATAGTGAAGTTCATTAATTGTTTGTTAGAGATTATGTCATGATTCAGAAGTCAATTTGAAACTATCACACATTGAGTTTGAAAATCTTCAGGTTGATTATGATCACAAACTGATACTAACTGAAAATAAGTCTTCAGTAGAAGGGATTGAAAAATTCTCTCATTATATTTTGAACCATTTCAACAATGTTCATTCATGACTTTCAATCAAATGAAACCATGGTTTAGTAAAAATCCTCGCTGATCACTTTACCTTTAAGAATCTAGGCTTGAATCTAACAGCCTACGGTATAAGATTCACTCGACTTCTGATATTTCACAATCTACTTATAAATCAAATGCAAAAAAGAAATACCCATTGCTCTAAGGTTTTCCACATTTATTTCTCTAATTTGAATCAATAATAAAAATCTTTTTCAAACTAGACAGTTTTCTCAAACGCTGAATGTTTATAACAATATTATTTGATATTTCTGTAGTTAGGCATGAATATGATGAACACATTAAAAGACCTTCATGGGTTGCTGCTCATCTCAATTCGAACAAATTAGGGATGAATATAGGGTTAGAAGCCTCATCCCATGAAAAGAATCTTGCTAAAAGAAGCTAACTCAAATTATCATGGTGATATTCGGTGATTCTTATTATTGTACATTTCTTTCGTAATTAGATGACAAAAAAAGCATAGGACAGTTAACTTTTGGAAAACAAAATTTTCGAATAAAATGTGAATGATTTAAAAGTGAACATTATTTTGATCCATATCAAATATTTCTATACTGTTAATGACGTTTTTTTATTGTAAAGACAATTTTTTCTTTGTTCTGTATCTTGTTAGCACGTCGAAGAGCGGCTAAACAACGACTTAAACAGACTGGTAAAGATGCGTCATTCAATGACTCGAATTTCGAGGATTCTGTATTATTCGCAGAATCTAAATGTAGGTTCAATTTGTTTTGACGTTGTTAGAATATTGTAGACGCTTACATGCTTTATTGAAGTTTATATATATATATATATATATATATATATATATATGCTACTTATGTGGACATAAGTAGTATATGACGTGAGTACTGAAGAGAATGTCTGGCAGCAGAGAGACGAGATCAGACAATAAAGAATGAAGAAAGAATGCAATTTGTATGAAAATGCAAGAACAAAGGAATTCTGAGTCATTTGAGACAATTGATGAACAATTTGCAAATTAACAATTTAATAAATGGTTGTTGGATTTTACTAACTAGTTCTGTAATTTGTTGTCACATTCACTGGTGCTTTGTTCACCACACTAGTACAATTGAATTGGCATCACATTAAAGCTGTGTGTTTAATTTTACCACTTTCAATAAGCAGTTTATCAGTATAGGGTTGTGGTTAATGTTGAATTTTGATTGAAATCATAAATGGATCACTGTAAGACTATCACTGAAAATCTCAAAGCACTGGACAACACTGCTGAGATGTTCCATACTAGAATGAATAAACCTTCCAATGCTTCGACGTTTCCAATGGTGGTTTAACATTCATCTATTCATAATCTTAATCAAAATAAACAGTTTGTTTTGTAAACACAATAACATCATTATGCTGATTCACTCCAAAATCAACTATAAATTCATATTATTCTGTTATGTTTATTATTTGTTTTGATATTTTATAAATTACAAGGGTGAAGTATTATATGTAATAAACTAATAATTCTATTACACAACATCTTCAAGCTCTTTCATAAGAAAAAACAACATCTATCTCAATCTACAGAAAAAAAACAAACAAACATTTAATACCATTCAAGTCTCCTATTCTTTTCTTTTGTATATCAAACGTAATTTGAGAAAATGCTAAAACTGTTTACCCTGAGATACTGGAGAAGATTTGTATCTCAGATGGATAATTTTGATGGAGTTCAAACTATTCAGCTCAAAGAACAAAACTCCATCAAAAACTGTTTACCCTAGAAATAAAATTTTAAAAAAAAACTATGATTGATAATAGCTTGTTTTCAACTCAAGTTTAAAATGTCTATCTAGTGTTTATTTATTTATTTTAAACAAACAAAATTCAAGTGAATGAATTTCATTGTTTACTCAAATAATCTTATGAACATATTCATGATGTGATGAAAATAATAAAATATAAATTGAATTCTATTAAGAAACCTAATATTAATTTAATATTATTAGTTGAATTCATGAGTTGATTAAAGTTAGATGACTATTGATAAACTGGGAGTACTGAACGAACATTTCGTCCTAGTATGGGACTTCTTAGCAGCGTGCATTACCAACACTACTTGCGGGATTCGAACCCAGGACATGTCGGTCTCGCATACGAACGCTTAACTAGTAGATCACTGAGTTGATATCCATTGATGTTAATGTCTAACTTCAACCAATTCACGAACTAAATGTAAAAATTTATTAACATCTTCACAAAACCCCCCTTCTGATAATTTAATATTAGTTTTATGATCATAAATTTTTAATTCAAATATAATTAATAATGAAAAGTTGTATTTTTGTTATACAGCACATTCATCTTATGGTGATCTATTAAGACGTCGAAAAGAGAGATGTCAAGGATGTTGGAGAAGAGAAAAACGAATTCGGTAAGAGTATTTATTTGTTATTATCAACAACTAATTTTACCTCAGTTGATTAAATATATAGGTGGATAATCCAACTATATTTTAAAACAATAATTAATTACCTATATCCAATAAAAGATGGATTAGAGAAAGCATAAATGTTCGCTTATGTCACCAATGGATTGCATAGCTATTTGATTTTAGTATGGAATACCTCAGATGTGAATCATCTAAGACCCAAACAGAGATCTAACCTAAGGAATCAGGGATGAGCATCGGGAAAAACATCTTTAGACCAGTTAAAACCGCTTTATATTTCCAGAGTTAATTTGGAATAAAAGAATAGTATGCATGACCTACATTAGTTGATAACTGGAACATAACTATTATCTTACTATCTAGTATTCATTGTTGATCGAATCCCACTATTCTCAGATGCCTGAAATTGCAGTGGACTTTGGTGAAGATTAATTGATTGAGGGAATTTATTTAGATGCATTAAAGCTATTTTAATTAGTTTACACATCTTAGCTCAAAATATTAATCATGACCTGTATAGCTCAGTAGCTACCGTAATATTCAAATTTGTCAATTAAAACATTGATGAAAGCTATATTGAAAACTAAGATGATTCACAAAACAACTCAACATTTCAACCAATGTTGTATATGTGAATAAAATGCATACCTGTTCCATTAAAATTGGATTATTAGACATAGTTATTTGAACACATAAAGGGGGTTTCAATTTCCGTATAGCCAAGGCTTCAATAAACCTTAGTATACGTCCTTGAAGGCTTTTGTATAACACTATAAATACTGACTTGATGTCAACCTTATGACCAGTCCAATCAAATGCTTCTTAATGAAGGATGATATCTGTCTATCCTGTGATCTTATTTGACCATTGGAATCCATTTGTTTTTGCAACCATTTTGGTATGTGTTCAACCACCTTTAATTGCACATCACGATCGCTCCTCCCTATGTACGTGTTTCCGTTGGCTGCCAGAAGCGTCATAGGTCTAGTCGTATTGCAACCCTTCCAGCGGTTTATGAACTTCAATGAATAACCATTATTCATTAACGTATCAGTCAAGAGCTTCGTCTCTACTTCAATAGTATGTGTGATCAGATTTTTCAAAATGTATTGCGCAAATATATCACATAATTCTGATAAACTTCGTCTTCTCATTGTACTATCGAAAGACATAATTATTTGTTTGCTTGCGTAAGTGTATATATCTGTTTGGTAAATATTTATATAAATAAGGTATAAAACAAAGTATTCTGTTGTATTCAATCAGTTAAAAAACATTTTTTTCTGGATATTTTTATTTTCAACTTAAATTGTTTTGAGAAATGTATGCAGTAGACAAAGTTTATTCATTGGGAACACTGTCTAATAACTATTGAATAACATGCTATTGTCTTAATAATAATGCTTTTGTAGAGGCTAATTTCCCTTATAATTGACTCCAACAATTAGTCTACCGTTAACTGAGTATTTAATGCAGGCTAAATCTCTTAGTAGAATTATTATTCAAAAGCCTGAACACCAGTTATAGAGATTGTTTATTGTTAAAGATTGGTAAAATCCGCAGGCGTACACGAAGCAAACACACAGGAAAACAAAGGGTGTGTGTGTGTTAAAAATCCATATATATTTCTGAGTGTTAATCAGGTATGGATAAATTATTGATTGCCTGTATATCACAGATGGGACAATAGATTAAAAGTTGACATGTGCTCAATCAGACTCACGCAGAAAATGACATAGTGGGCTAAGTGACTACATTACAGTGAGCAGATAAATAATACAATAGTTGAATGGGCTTACTACATTCTCGTTAAGTGGATCTAAAAGTTCGAACCCTGATAGGGTGCTGGACGCTTAATGTTGATGAGTCCTAAAACAAGGATAATATATGTGTTCTATTCCCTTGGCATACTAACATTATTTAATCAGTTAGTTTGTAAACTACAATGAAGTATTTAATGGTCGATCTATTTACATGTATGATAAATAAAACATTTTATCCTTGATTGATACATTAATCGTAAAAATACATTAAGTTCTTAAGTAAAGTTCTAACCGAACGACTGATCACGCTTGAAGTATAATTAGCTATTTGTTGAATTTACCACAGAATGCAATTAAATTTTTCTTATCAACGAGCTATTAATTTAGTTATTTGCAACTAACCACCGGATGGGTAATTTTCATTTCTCTGAATGATTTGTATTTAAAACTAAAAAATATTTTTATGGTAAATATGTAGTCGATAATAGATTAGTGGTATAGAGGTTAAGCGTTCGTGCACAAGACCGATAGTTCCAAGGATCGAGTCCCTCATAGAACAAAACTCTATCAAAATCATCCACCTGAGCTACAAATCTTCTCCACCATCTTAATAACAATTTTGTATCACGACCAACAAAAAAAAACCAAGAAACAATGAACATCTATTTCATTCTAATAATAGGAATTCCTAGTGATGTTCATTCATGACCCCATCATTTATCGAACCCAAGACCTTTATGTCTTGTGTAGCAAGTCGTTAACCACTACACACCCATGTCGGCATTGATTGCTATACTTATCTAACTTCAAACAAATCCAGCAATAATAACAACAGTTTATTAATGTAATGTAATAACTTAATAATTTGTTTTCATCCTATAAATTTTGTAAACTGTATTGTTGTTGGTTAATAGATGCCTAAAGAATAACCTTCATTAAAATTTGAATTGATCATTAAATATGAATTAGATTTATAAATATCTCAGTTGGTTAAACTACATCATTTAAAATCTTTGTCTGGGAGTCTAACTACTGCTTTAATTAAAATATGAAATTGTCTATGATTACAAGACAAATGAAAATTGAAGTTAGGAAGCATATAGGTTGTGACAGTGTGGTGTGTGCTACTGATGTCGATAGATATAAGTAGAATGTATCATCAATCGAAAGTGAAATACCTGGCGGTAGAAGGTTAAGAAGATCAAAGAAAAAAGAACGAGAACAGAGAATGATTGCTGTGGAAATGAAGAAACAGTGAAATCTGAGACGACTGATTGACATTTGCGAAAGGAAAAGTCGGATTTGAGACAATTGATTGATATGTTGCAAATGAACTATTTACTGGAAGGTCCTCAGATTTTACTAAGATGTTCTGTAGTTTTGTTTTCATGTATATTTGATTGTCCGCACTTGTGTTCTCGTTCACTACAACAGTACTGAGTTACTAATTTAGCGACTAACCGTTTGAGATATGAAACTTAAATGTTTACAAAATTTTAATTCTATCATAATAATCAGATATTTTATACAAATATTCGTCAAGATTAGAACGAATAGTTTGACAAGAATTGGGCGCCGAGTATAGAGAATCCATTATATGTTAAAATTATATTTGAATTAATCTCAGCGATTGAAACTTAAATAATTCCAACGTTTCGTCCACTTCACTTGTCTGGACTTCTTCAGGGTAATAATCAAAATGAAAATCACCAAAGAAATATATAGTCTTTAATCCAATGGTATTCGAATGTTGATTTTAGTAAATAGGATAACATGAGTTAGTTATATGTAAATCATGTGGAAAGTTCACAACGTGAAAATAAATGACTGAACAAATTGTGTATCTGTGTGTATGTATGTATGTGTAAGATTGAGTTATTAGTGAATGATATTCGGCGTTAATATATTTTTACGTGAAGGAAAAATAAAAGTGCAAGTTGAAGGTTGGAAAATTGTTTCCGAATCATTGAAGTGCAAATAAAAATGAGAATCATCAAATACATAATTTTATTGCTAAAAATAACCCACATTAATTCCAGTCAAAATAACGATACATGTGAAATAAACAGATTGAATAAAGAATCAGTCCAATTACTTACTAACGAATAGTTATCAAGTAGTTACTAGCTGAATACTGTCCTTTCTGTTTAAGCTGTTCTTATTCATCTATATATACAGCACTTCTACTGTCAGTCATTTTTTATGTGTTAAAACTTTACTAAAGTATTTTGGTCCCTTCAAAATTAATCTTGTATCCTGTTTCTAGCGTATGTAACTTGATCAGATATTGTTTTCGACTGCTATAATGATCAATAAAAACGTCCAGCATTCAGTTAAATGAAGTGTATTTGAAAAGATTGCCCTTTTTTAAATTAACGGATACACCAAAAGTGCATCACAGATTGTGTTATAGACAATTAATGTTTTCAGTGGTTGAAATCATGAGTCTCGCGCGCGAGTCTGATATGTCTTGGGTTCGAATCTCGCGGGAGGGGTGGGGTCGTGGATGCGCATTGCTGAGGAGTCCCATACTAGGACGAAACGGCCGTCCAGTGCTTCCAGGTTTTCCATGTTGGTCTAGTTTCAATTTACTCATGATTTCAACTATTGAAATTATTAAAATCCTCACAAAACTCTTTCTGATAATTATCATTTTGTTGATTGTTTTAATGATTTAGAAATTCTATGCAAGATTGTTTGTAATATACTTACAATAGAAAATTAAAGTACTGTGATTATTTACAGCCGGAAGTAATATGAAATTTTGTTGATTTATTTGAACAAGAAGATCACTTCCTTTTAATTAAACGAAATAGATTAGTATTTTAAATAATATGAAGTGATACTATAATAGTAATTTTAATGATTATTACCGGTGGATATTTCAAAAATATCTTCCATTTTTATTTACAACTCATCAAGCTAATACATCTGAATTTTAGTTTCTATCTTCATAATTAATCTCAAACTCAGTAGTAGTTGTTTTCAGCTACAGAGCATAATTCAGTAGTCCACTGGATCACTAGTTATCGTTTTTAGGAGTGACTGTAAGGAATCGTGTTCTTTTGTTAACGATACTTGGGATTGAATTTATTAGTCTTCTTTGCGTTTGATTCTTAGTGTAAATGTTTATAATGATATGGAGGGACTTCCAGTTGACTAATTCTAAATGGAATGAAACGTTAATTCTAACAACCCCTGCTATATAGAGGAATAAATAATTAACTAGCAAATAAAAAAAGATATGGAGGTATTCTACTTATCAACAGACCCTTGTACACTTGTACTATGAACTTTTAACACTCCTGTACCACAATACTTTAAACACTATACTTCAATACATTATACAATGAAAGCTGCTAATATTGTCTGGTATTTAATTAATAACAAATCATACAGAAATGGTGAGATATCTGTACATACTGAATTCCAATACATTCCTGTCTAAAATTCGTATTAAATACATTCAACCAAGTTTTACAGTTTATATCAATACTCCCAGTGTTCTATAAATAAGTTTTAGTAATGCCTTACCAGAAAAACTATGATCTCTATTACATCTACTACGTGGTTGTTATAATTTATGGCATTTTGCCCTATTTATATAAAACGTAATGATACCGCCAATTAAAGAACAGTGATTTATCGAACGGACCAATGACGCATAAACTTGTACGAGCAGTCTAGACTCTTTATCGGTCCTTCTTTCCGTCTAGTTACATCTGTTAAGTCCAGAACACTATTCTCAGCCTCTGTTAAAAGTGAATATACCATTTTTATTTTGATATGAGAAACAGATGAAATTTCTAGCTGATTCTCAGTTGAAATAAAAAATGAAAAAGTATCAATATCGGTTTTTTTTCTTTTATTTCAATTGAAAACGAATTCAACTATTTAATGTTCTATTACAAATCTCGTTCAATATTCATAATTATTTAGGTATGCCATAAGGAGAATGGTCAAAAGTCAACCATTTTATTGGGTTGTAATTATACTTGTATTTTTGAATACCGTATGCGGTGCTATTGAACATCATGGTCAACCAGTATGGCTTTCCACATTTTTATGTAAGTTTACAATGTTTTCTAAACAGTCGTTTTCAGAAAAACTATACTCAGACCTCAAAAGTATGAGTTTGATTGATTGAGTTATTTAGTGTTGTACACTGAAATTAGTAAACTTCATGTTGGTTGCTGTTCAGATAGTAATGAGATATGTGACTTAAAAATGTCGAAAGATCACAGAAGAAAAAAACATAAAAGTCATTTACGATCTCTTCGATAGGATAGTCGTACTTCCTAAGTTATTATTATAATTATTATTATCAATATATATATCTTATGTTGTACTGTGTGGAGACACTTATTTTTGATAACATACCAACTCACAGTGATTTTGTTCTACCTCTTTATGTATAATCTTTAACCTTTATGTATCTTAAGTGCTGAAACCAAAACTGTCGTAAAATCAAATACCTCCCAAAAGAAGAAGCTATTAAAAATTACTCCATAACATTAAAACAACCGCGGTTTAAATTAGTTACTCATACCCACCTCCACATTAATGAATAATCTTTCACAACGTCCCTCTTTGAACTTCATAAATCTTGTATTTTAGTAATATTAATAATTTTAATCCTCATTTAACTCAGTTACCGACCAATCAAACCTAGATTTTTTCAGGATTTAATATTTGTTATAGCAAAAAAAAAAAGGAGATTGAATATAGGTCAAGGTTATACTTTAAAAGAAAAGAGATCATTTCTATATTCTTCCCTTTATCTCCTCATATATTTTTGCATATTCAAGTATTGATAATAAAGCATAAGCTAGAATCTGATAAATTTAATAACAATAGAAGTTGATTATTGACTGTGAACCATTAGCTGATCATCTCAACTGATTGAATTATTTTCTAAGTTATCTTTTATCAATGTATCTATGTGATAAATCTCTCTCTGTAAAACATTGAGAATTAATTTATAGGATATTCTTAATACAATATTCTTTTATATGATGTGTATTCTTAGTGATTATTTAATGAATATTTTAGTTTGTTATGATAACTATCTTTAATTGGCTGATAATTAGAATACTGGCTATCTTCTTGAAAAAAAAAATAAACGCACTGAACTGTATGGAACTAAGTAATCTGTAGAAATCATCTTCTTAAGTGATATCAATCAATAATCACTGTTTGTATTGTGATCTTTAGATTATTTTTTTTATCTGTGATCATTTATTTCTTAAGTGACATGTAACTCAATCTTAATAAGTATGTTGCGTATTTCCTGTAGTAATAATAAATGATATTTCGTGATTATCATATGCGTTGGTTTTACGGAAAACCCCCGAAATTTTCTCTATAGTGAAGTTAAATCAGATAGAGAGAGAAGCTTTGTCTCTTGGATTTAAATTTCATATCCTCAAAATATATGCCAATAAAATCAATACAGAAACTTGAATCAGGAATTTAATTGATTAAATGAAAGGATTACATCCAGTTAGTGAAGAGAAGAAAGTCTGGTTTAAATCCAAACTACACCATAGCCGAAACTTTTACCTAAAGATCACCTGAAAGTATTACAAAATGATGATGTGATGATATTACGATCAGATAAAGGTTCAGGTGTTGTTCTAATAAAAATAACAGATTATGTCTCTAAGATGAAGTTGACATTAAGTGACCACATGAGATTCAAGTTGGATAAAAGTAACAAGGACTTATCTGATTCAATTGAAAAAAAGAATCACGAATGTACTTAGGGATAGAACAGAAATGAGAACCTACATCCGATTAAAAAAACATATTGCAAAAATTCTAAGGATAGGTGGATTAAAAGCGTTCAACAGTGCCATTTTGAAACATCTCCTTGATACAAGACATCATGTGGAGACACTGAAGTCTTTCAAGGTGATTAATAAAAAACCAAAGTCCAATATTCTGAAATTTGCCGAAGCGATAGCGATCAAACGTCTAAAACCAGATCTATGTGTACAAAATAAGTAGTAATCAATCTTTCTTTTGTTACATCATTCATTACCTCAACTCTTTCTAAAGTTTTATTACATCATTTTCAATCTTCTTTAATTCATAAATGACTGATTTTAATTCTTATCTTTGTTTATTATCATTAATCTGTTTTCAGTTACTTCATTAAACAATCATCGAATGTCTGTTAATTCTATGAGTTCTACTCACTAGTTAAAGGTTCCGGAACTTTCTCTTCCAAACTTTATTTATTTTTTATAATCTAATTAACTCTATTGGAATCTTCGCTATATCATGGTACACAAATTCATCTCTAATCACCGTCGTATTTATATGTATGTCAATATCTGTAATAACTCTGAGCAGCTGATGAGAACTTAAAGAAGTAAAATGAATTCGTATTATTCTGCACCAACCTTCGTTTTTGCTCTGTTTAACATAATAAAAAAGATTATGAGTATGAAATAGTGTCAGTCTTTGAATTGTTAGTCCTATGTATTGAATCCTATTACTTTGAGACAAAAATGTCTGTTTTATGTACAGATCAACAGTTTAATAATTTAATGAATTAATAAACCAACTAATCTATCGTAAGAGTAATAAGAAAATTTTATAGTATGATATCGTGTGTAAATTAACAAGAAATATATGTCCAAGATCGAGTTTCTTTGACAGTGATTGCAAACATCTCTAAAAGTAATGAAGTCTACGATCTTCAGGTTTTTTCATGATGGCTTCAAATTACTGAATTCGAAACAAAAGATTCAAATTTTTAATATCAATCTATTTTGTGTTAATGAAAGATGTTACTTCATCATGAGAACCATTTTTTCAGGCCATACACAAAACCTCTAGATAGATTCGCCGATGTTCTAATGGCAAACTGTGATTAGTGGAGTTAACTGTCTGGGAATTGTTATAGTTATCTTCTATTGAAATGATTACGTATCTCGTCATTCTGTCAGTTATACTTGTGTACAGCTGAATTCCACCTCGTTATTTCAGTTATATCGTGCTCATTACAAGACTGGATGATCGATTTAGCTACACGTTCAGTAAATAGTTCCAGTCTAGATCGATACAACTGTTTAAGGCTTCCTGGATTTCAGTGGTTTTCTAGTTGAAGTCAGCTAGTGAAAAACCTACGTTTTAAAAGTTTTATTAATCTAAAGATTTTTTCTCTAATTGTATTCTAACTTACTAGTATTACAAACGTCCTCAATTCAATGTTTTACTTACAGATTATGCAGAATTTGTTTTTCTCGGTTTATTTATTATTGAAATGTTATTGAAAGTATATGGATTGAATATACGAATCTACTTTGAATCTTCATTCAATATCTTTGACTGTGTGGTAAGTTTATTTGTTCATTTGGAATATTATTCACTAGTTTAGTGATCATAATGTAAATTGATCAATAGTGTAGCATTCTAAAAATCACATCGCATAACTTTGATGGGTGATTACCAACAATATTCTGTTCCTTATATACTAAACCGAATTTTCAATTTAGTGAGTATTTGATTGATCTATATACATCTGACAAATACACAGATTGGGATTGTGATAAAGAGGAAGAAAGTATCACAAATAACAACATGAATTTTCATCTGTGTACTAAACATCATGATATATTTAAATCCAATTTCTGAAGGTCTAAACCATTGTTGGTTTACAGATTCACATTTTCTTCACAGAACATAAATAAAATGACAAGTATTGCTTTCTTCAACTATAAGTATTGAGATGGTTTTAAATTCACTTGATGTTGTTTACTTGTATCTTCTCATTGTTATTAAGGACTGCAATTGATCAGTCTTTTGTTGGCATATGTGCATCCTGTGTAAAATGCCTCGATATTGCCTTAATTCATAAGCATTATATGCAAAAATGGATGATGGCTTGTAGTGGAATCTAAGACGCGCGTTTTGTCTTGTTTGGGACTCATCAATCGGATGTACATGCATCTCAGATGTGATGTTCACTCTGGGACTCGAGCCCAGTACCGTTCACTTCAAACGCCATCGCTTTATCCACTTAGCTACTGAGTCCGGATGGCTACCTGGTTGTGCAGTAGGGTGAAGTTTTAAATTCACTTGATGTTGTTTAACTTGTATCCTACCATTGTTATTTAGGACTGCAATTGGCGTATATGGATTCAAGTCCCAGAGTGAGCATCAAATCTGAGATGCAGGAACATCCAATTGACGAGTCCCAAATAGGACGAAACGCGCGTCCTGGATTCCGCTACTGACCACTATCCATCTTTGCTTATAAAATATTGAGATAGTTGTTTTTAAACAGCCCAAAATATTCTCAACTAAAACAAATTACAGAATTTAACCAATGAACTCTAAGTTTCTTAGTAAGTGTTTAGCCTTAGGATCAATTAAAGACGCAGGATAGTATCACAGAGTTGTTAACAAGTCACTAATCAATATCAGTTCATGTTGAATAACTAATTTTCAACTACCTAAACCCATCTCTGTAATAATTTGAAATTTCTTAATAATTACAATACACGATCAAATTTACAAGACTTGAATATGTTGACATTCTTTAGAAAAGAAAAAAAGAAAGAAATTTGAAAAAAAAAAGCTGTTCACATATGTTCTAGATTATTCTATAACACATTGTTGTCTGTCAGTAACAGATAATGTGACAATATTATTTATCTTGAGGGTAAATGTTTACAAGGGCACTTATTTTTACAAATAAACAATAATAATAATAATAAATGGAACTTTCTTCTTTAATATAAACTTTATTCATAATAATATAGCTATATTTGTATTAAATACCTTATACAATATAAACGATAAATATATATTTGTCATAATAAATGAAGGACCTAATTAGTTGATGAATACTTAAATATAAAATAGATTTCTGCTTGTTATATGATACAAAACATAAAGTTTATCTAACATACATAGCAACAATTTCTATGGGATAAATTGTCGTCAAGTTTTAAAGGTTACCTTTTGAAGATTATACTTTAATATGTATGTATGTGCATATATATAGGTCAAATTCAGTTCTTCAATCTTATTTTTTTTTACAATCATTAGAAGTGATCATATTGTAGGTTAATCGATAGAATCTATTCAGGATCATAGATTGTATAAATAAAAATTTTCTTTGAATTTTCAGTTTAGAATCAGGAAATATATTTAAGTTTATGGGGTTCACTATGAAACATAATAAACTTTTTTTAATATTCCCTTATTCACCAG